GAGAGAGAGAGAGAGAGAGAGAGAGAGAGAGAGAGAGAGAGAGAGAGAGAGAGAGAGAGAGAGAGAGAGAGAGAGAGAGAGAGAGAGAGGACTGCATCTATCTAGCCACGAATGCGGATGTATACATTCATACATGATTGGGAAAAAAAAAAACAAAAAGCATGCGCTGAATACATTAATGAAATTATCGATTGTTATGGAAATGTATGCATATTGTATGATTATTGAATTAAAATTGTAAATGGGCGTCAGAAAGGAATAGATAAATCCGCAATTGACCAACGGGCCTAACTCAGCCGGTAGATACCCATGAACTGTTGAAATGCAAACCTGAGTTCGATTCCAGATGGAACCAGATGAAGCACAAATAGAGAGAGCGTGATGGCTAGTTGTAGTAGTAGTAGTACTAGTAGTAGACGAAATAGAGAGAGCTTAATTGCGAGTGAGTAGTAGTAGTAGTAGTAGTAGTAGTAGTAGTAGTAGTAGTAGTAGTAGTAGTAGGAGGAGGAGGAGGAGGAGGAGGAGAAGGAGGAGGAGGAGGAGGAGGAGGAGGAAGAAAAGCAGATGATGCCAATGATGATGATGGTGAATGATGATAATGATGGTCATGATAGTGGATGATGATGACGATGATGAGGAGGATGAGGATGAGGATGAGGATGAGGATGATCGTGATGATTATGTTGATCGTGGTGGTGATCCTCTTTAGGAGTTGTGCAGGGGAGGATAGTAATATGGGCTGGCACGAACTGAAAGAAGAAGAAGAATAGTGGAAACAGTGGCCAACTGCCTTTCGTACACGCTTCGAATACTCTTCAATACAAAGCCGCGCATACTCATCTCAGCTCACGCGCACAATCGCCGACGCGTTTCGATCGGTTGCGCTCCGATCATCCTCAGGGGGCTTTCCACATAACCCTCGCCTTGCGACCCACCGACAAGAAGAAGAAGGAGAAGGTGATGGTGGTGATGATGATGATGACGACGACGATGATGATCATCATCATCATAATGCTGATGAGTATGGTGATGGTTGTTATGATGGGGATGACGGTGAGGTTTAGGGTGCCGAGTAATGGTGATGGTGATGATGACAAGGATGATCTGGATGATGGTGATGATGACGGCGACGGTGATGATGATAAGGTGATGATGGTAATAACACCGACAGTGATGATTTGATCATTGAGGATTGATGATGATGGGGATTGGAGGGTGTGATTGGACGCCCCTCTCCTCTCCTCTCTCTCTCTCTCTCTCTCTCTCTCTCTCTCTCTCTCTCTCTCTCTCTCTCTCTCTCTCTCTCTATCTATCTCTCTCTCTCTCTCTCTCTCCCTGGTCGTAGACGATTACCAGCATCTAATAAATCGTCATCTATATATGATATATATATATCGTCAAACAGAGCTGCCTACGGTAAACCGTAGGCAGAGAGGGAGGGAGAAGAGGACAAGAAACGAGGGGCTGTGACAAACTGTTTCGTCGGAGTTTCACCGACTCATCAAGGAGGCCGAACCCTCAACAGTCTGCAGAATCCCCTAACGGATTACACTGTAAGTGATAATCCACCTCAACCCCGGTTGTCGTTAAGCATATACAGTCAAACAGAGCTGCCCGGTAAACTGTAGGCAGAGAAGGAGGGAGAGAGAGGACAACAAACGAGGGGCCATGACAAACTGTTTCGTCGGAGTTTTACCGACTCATACTGCTCGGTAAACCGTAGGCAATCTATTGTCACATGATATCAGAGCGCCAAAGCGAAAAACAGAAAGAAAACAAAGAAAACACAAAAAACTGAATTCGTTTTTAATCTTCTTCCTTACAACTCCCCCTGTTCAGAACCTCCTCTTGCGTACAAGGCCGCCCACGTGGATGTAGGTTGAGCGGCGGCTGCCCCCACCCCCGTGTGTCATGTGTATATATTGTCACATTGTGAATCAGAGTGCAAAAAAGGGGAAAGAAAAAAGGAAAAGGAAAAAAGGGGGAGGGGGAAGAGGTAAGGAAAGCTCCACCTGTTCATAACCTCTTACGTACAAGGCCAGCCACGTGGATGACAGGTTGAGCGCTGGCTGCCCCCATCCCCGTGTGTCACAAGGACC